CCACGAATGGTCAACGAGGAATCCACTATGTTTTAGAGCGGCAAGTTGTTAGGTTGTTCATATACGTTGTCATTCAGAAAACGCAAACAAATCTGGTGACTACATCTGCAATTTGCTTCGCAAGTGCAGTACCTCTGTAGCGAGAACGACACGAAAGGGGGGTAGACGTTTATTACACACCGAAAATGGGCACGTGAAGGTCTCACGCGCGCCATCGAATATCGACTAGATTTCCGTCCCACAACGCAACACAGGTACGGATGTTAGAGACGAGCCAGTCCTTTCGCCTCGGGAGCTCTGACTTGGAAGACCCGCCTTCGTGTTTTCGCCTCGATATCCACTTCTATGTACCCGATTTGGATCGGCCAGGAGTCGTTCGAGAGCTCTCGACTTGCTTGTTCTGGGCTGTGTCAATCGGCTCGGCCTCGGTCCTGTGGGCTGCGCTAGCGGCGTATATGTCTGATTTATTGCGCTGTCCACATATTCCCGCTCCGTAGTTCCGGGCCCATGCTCGTCGCTAGCCGTCCTTCTCGATCCGCTCTCAGCTAGCTCCGAAGAGCTCCCCCGAGGCATTCTTGGAAGCGACCCCTCTACACCTCGACATCTTGCTTCAGGATGATCTGCGATTTTCGAAATACACCTAAGAGGGGCCAAAAATCTGTAACCAACATTTCGGCCTGCAACGCAGTGTGATTGCCCTGTTTGAGCAATAATGTACTAGCCGATGTGGAATTCCCCAACTAGTTGTAGCATCCATGACAGAAACAAGGTCACACTGTTCTTGCGAATTCGTATTGAAGGATAGCTAATAATGCGAGAGAATATGGTTATCTGCTTTACGAACTTGGCTTAAAATCCATTGCAATTTATAGCGCTCGGTATCCGTGCCTTCGAAGCGACCTCCTTATATCTTACCAAATCCGGATAATTCCAAGTAACGCTTGCTTCCTGCTTCTGAAACTCAATCGAATGATCTAAAATTGCAGCGCAGTAGAGTTGCCATGAGCGCCTCTGTAAATTCTTCTTCCTCCAAGTGTGATGGTCTAGAAACACCTTCTCTTCACGCTATATTTCTGCCCTAAAATTAGCTGTGTTAAAAAAGTGTTTTAACACCTGATAGCGCCATTTACACTCCACTATCCAGCAAATGAGTCTGAAAGCTAGGCTTATGACCAGGTGGACTTATATTTGTTAACATAAAAACCTGTGGCGAGGTTGAGAGAACCCAATCAAATTTACCCACCTACATTAACTGGCGTCTTATATTTTTATCCCGACTATGTTCTAGGACTGGTTTGGCTGTACGCAGTATGCAACAAGTTGAACAAATATAGTCAATAAAGGTAATTTTAGTTAGTTTTGAAGTTGGGTCCAATTATGTATTGGCAACGTTGTCGCCATGTTTTACTTTTCAGTTTACTGATTTCCAGTAAAGGTTTTGTTTAACCAGATCGGAAACCCTGTGCAAGTTCCGTTACACTTGAATACTTGGGGTGGTAAAACAACTTACGAATCAATGAGGAACTGTACGGAAAAGGTGTATCCATTGCCACGTTTGGTTGTGTGAATTTGTTGACAAAAGGAATGGTAACGCGAAGAAGACCTTTGTTGAAAAAAGGGAAATATATACTATCTGCCCGTTGAAGGTCGCAAAATGTTGACAGGTCAGCGCATCGAGCAACTAACAACTTATTATATCATGCAATAAAAGACAAAGTCAACAACCTCAGTGTAATGGAGAACGCTGTTTTGTCAATTTTTCTACACAATGTCCACAGATAAAGACCAACACTAGGATAAATGTCCCGAAAGAAGAGAGTGATGGTGTTTCTTCTGAAGTGCAGAAGCAAACGATCTGACGCCACAACCTCATTCAAAAGCCCTACCAACGTGACATTGCTCAGGCTCACGCCCATCTACAAGTGACTTGAAGACTGCCAGGTACTAATTGGTGCCTGTTTTTGAAACACAGAATTCAAATGAGTGCTTCCACTACACGTTATTCAGAGTTCGTCCAAAAGAAAGATAGTTGTTTATCAAACTGCTGATAATGTAGTGGCCGCATGGACCCATCGTTTCAACAATGGATCCACAGCAAATCTAAATGTTTTGATGGAATCAGCTAGTTAAAATAGTTAGTTCCCATCAAAAATTTGAAAGTGCGGAAAGGGACGAAAGCTGCTAAATGCATGTATTTCCCATCGTCTCCTCAGTACCATTAACAATAAGTGATATACATAAAGATAGCTAACAGTGGTTGCGACCAGACTAGCTTGAGTTGGGGGTGGATAGTGAACTTGGCATCACAAGACCAAGGAACTCTTAAGTTGGCAAGTAATTGTTTCTGAACGCAAAGGGCTGGCTTCATCTGGCATATAGTGACAGTCTCAGCAATCCGATTGAAGCGGGGATTAGCGTGACGTAATATAACCTTGTACGATGGACCTAGTTTTACCCGGTGACCTGAGACCACTAAGTGTTTGTCAATCGAGGAAGCTGGCGCTCTATGCGAGCACAGAAGTCGATGGGGCAGGGATTCTGGGCAATTTCCTGCTGAACGCAACTCGGCACATGATCTATTACTTGGGATTCTTAGCAGTTATGCCTATGGATTGTCTCCGAGCGTTGAGCGGCCGGTGTCACAACTGAATCGTTAAATGTAGCTTCGTGAATGGGATTTTCCCCAGTCAAGTAGAATGTGATTTGGTCGCTTAGAGGGTTAGCATGTGTCAAAGTGACACAGATGCCGTGGGGGTTGCGATACTGACTTTACACTTTGACGGAGCTCAGACGGGGTTGCTGAAGTTTCGGATCGTTGTTTTTCCATTCCAGTGGCGAAGCAATAAAAGTTGCGAGCTGATTATTTGTTTCACGCAGTGAATAAGGATTTGTCACGGGTAAGAGATGTGGTGCTTAGCAAGTCCCATGGGAAAATTAGGGCTAAAAATAAAATCAAAGGATGTGCGTCATCGGTTTAAGCACCCATTGTCTTTAATGCGCTGCTTCTATACAACAGTGTGAATTGATTGTACGTATACTAAGCGTATATTATGTGTCTGGTTCCACTCTCAGCTCACGCTAGATACCACCTGAAGGGTCCGAATCCGGACGAACCCAGTCATGAAGTGTGATGTTGGGAGAGATCAGCTCCAAAACTCTTCACATCGGATGCGGGTGCAGTTTTTGAAAATGACAGAGATTTGCCACAACCTAAGCCGTAGTCCCAAAAGAGATTGTGTGTCTATCGTTCGATTACTCGAGTACCGGTTTCCAGTATCCGCGTGATGTATTTATAAAACCAGTATGTTTAATGGCATCCAGTTCCTGAACTGCGTGTAACTGTGGACTACACGGTGGATGGTCAAAGGATGCATGAACCTACTCAGAGACCATGGGTGGCTTCCGCTGTACACCCACAACTCCATCCACACACAGCATATTCAACGGAAACCCGAAGGATTATGATCGAGAGGCATATGGACGGTGGCCATGTTTCATCAACGGAGCCGGATCACCGTCCTTCAACATACACAGCAGCAGCGCGCCTGTCTATCCAAGTTGGGAATCAAGCGTACCAGACGTACACAGGGCAGTGGTCCGGCAGTAGCGCGTTCCGCACTAGATACTTGGAACCACCCTTTGAACCTAACATGGCCACAAGAACTGTGCACCCAGTCTCCTTAGTCAAAGACCTACCGTCTCCTGAAACCTGTATACTTGAGGTAACGGTATTTTGACATTTAGGCACTTTGTCAACATTCCCTTCAAGCGCAACACACCAGATATACTAAACAACCAAAACATAATTGAAAACAAATAGAAAAAAGTAGTGCTGACACCGAATATGCAGCCGAATAACATAACTGAATAAATCAAATAAAGTGAAATATATTTTGTCCATGTCAAGAAGATCAGGTAAGTCGGTGTGTCGCAGTATGAACACATCATAAAGAAATTCTACAGTAACAGTTTATGAAACTAAGTGACGAGGGCTAAGTGCAATATCCGGTCGATTGTAAAGATATCCCAATTAGGAAAGGGTAAGAATGTGTTTAAGAGGGGTTTCCAGGGCTGTCAAAACCTAGGAGCAAAGTAGTTCCACCGGCTTTCGAGACAGTCGTATTAGCCATTCAGTTGCAGGCGATTACCCATGAGCTTCGCGTTGTTGCCTAGCTACGGTCGATATTAGAAGACGTTATTGGCAACTCAATATGTGGTGCAGTATATGAGTTCGCCGCACAGACAGCGGTAGCGTACACTGAAAATCCCCAGTACCTCCATCCTCTTCAGGTAAGAGGAACAAGCGTAGTCCTAAATTGTTTGACATGCTCAAACTTTGAAGGCCACTTCTGACATTCATACATATGGCTCCTAATATTACTTACTTCATTCCTCGTAAAGTGTCCTTGAATCACATATTACATAGAGAGGAGAGTATTCCACTAACTCCTTAGATAAACCGTGGAAAGATCTACTGAATTGTATCAGTTAACCCCATGTAGGGCCTTTTAGGCTAGACGGATCAATAACTCTCCGGCTATTTACATTACTCAAAATGTGTATTCTTGCGACCTAGTATAAAATTTTTAACCACATACTAGACATTGATATCGGTCGCTGCAAGTGTTCTAAGTTTAAGGTGGTTCTATGTTGTCAGAAGGGATTGTAACATGTAGGTTTTAATGCAATCCAAATTCATGCTGATTTTGCTATCCAATATCAGGGGCAACGGAGCTACATTTAACAGCGTCATACTCGACGTGTAGCGATGGGGTTAGCTTGAATGCCAAAGTGACTGCACCGCCGCAAACCTTTAAACCGGTATCCCTAGTGGTTCACGCGAAATGCCGTCAATACAACAAACATGGAATGCTGTTTCTCGCTTGGTGTCCATCTCTTTTTCAAACACGCTCAATGCTCATGCTTGTTAGCGAGGCAGAACTATTTCCTTCTGTGACTCGGAACGTACCTTACTATACTTCCAAGCCTGTGGATCGATTCTAAGTAAGCTTTTCTTGCGTAGAAATTGAAATAATATTTTCTGGAGTAGTAGCCTTTCCAAGCGCTCTGGATCTGTTAAATTCAAAGATCAGACAGATATTGCTAATGAGCAGGACCTTTGTTGCGCAATTGTGATATCCGTTGGCATGCATTTTGTGCACTGCCTCTGACAGTATGAAGCGATACCGTTTTCTACCCAAATAACCGCGCCAATTTTTTTGTATAATGACACAGCAGCTGTTCAGAAACCTAAAAAATATTCACGTGTGCATAGACGTGATACTTGAGGTAGCAGCGCAGACGAATACCGCGGAACCAAGCCTGTATTTTAATAGCAGCCTGGAATTCAAAGACGCGGACAGCGTTTGCTCTTCTGCCGCACAATTATCACAAGTGAACATAGCTGCACTTACTTGTATTCTTCACTCAGCTCCTTGGAAAAGTTGTCAAAGGCATCGAGCAGCAGCGCTCTGTTAGTCATTGTGAATCTTCAAATAGCCAAAATTCGAGAATTGATTAATCCATCTCGTAACCGTACTTTACACTGAGGAAGAGGACGAGCACACGATTGTGTTTATCAATGAACAGTGATTTCAGACGGAAGAAAAACCATGCGCTTTGCCTCTCTTGTTAGTTGTTCTGGCAGTTAAAAAAGTTACAGTGGAAAACTGTGTATACTTTGCTTGCAAAATCCAGGTAAAAACGCGTTTGAAAAGCGGTTGTTCTGCTCCTCAAAGTGATTCTATAACTCAAGTACGTGATCACTAATAAGTTAAAGGATTTCACCACCCAAGTAGAACGGAATGATAATACCAATTAGTAACATGTGGGCTACTGAATACGTCATCAAACCGTCAAACAATCATTAGAATTGGTACACAAACGACCGACTCGTTGAACGAGTTGCAGGAATCCGTACACGAAAGGAAAGGAATTTTCTATGGTACCCTAAATAGCTGTAACGTTCCATCGATTTCAGTGTGTGTTCTCGATTCAGTTTAACTATTGTATTCCAGCAATGAGCCGCACATCATCATCATCAACAGCAGTACATCAGCTATTTGAACTGATGCTTCGCTGCCATACCATCATGACGACCTATGAAATAAAGAATAAGAAGAGGGAGAGAAGGGGGACTTACCTGAAAACCTTAATGCCCTAAGCAAAAATTCAGGGCAAAAACGCCTACACCTTGTGCAGACAACATACTGCCACAAACAGCTGGCTATCGTGCAAAGATAACGCGGCATCGGCGAGACAGCTTCCTTGCGGCTTTCACTGCCACGCGTCATAATCAACCATTAGGAGACGCCAGCAGACGCGCCACTGGTGTCTACTGAGTGCCATGTCCTGTAAAGTCTTGAGCCAAGCACAAGCCGAGCCACGTGGACTCCAACCCGGAAGACGAGACGGACCAACGGTACCCAGTTTGGTCGTCAATAACTTCGTTTCCCGCTGCCAAGTCAACTTCTGTCCATCTCCAGCCTTGCGGCACCCTACAACTGACAGACTAAACTAGGCCCTCCTAGATAAGCGGTGACCAGCCATACCTAGCACGTGCCCAAGCCAACGCAACCTATTCAGTGCTATCTGTTGTTCTAGGGAGTTAGCATGATTATCACTACCTAGTACTCGCCTACGCACATCATCTTTGTGGACACGGTAGTGCCATCCGACTCCAGCAATGACTCGCAGACAACGATGATTAAAGACTTGAAGGCGCCTCAGATCTTCAGACCGAAGGGGCCAAGTCTCACTGCGATACAGCAGAACGGCCCTCACTGTGGCCTTGTATACACGGCCTTTCAGAGGGAGGGAAACTCCCTTCTGTCGTCAAAGATGCCGCAGGTTCAAGAAGGTAGCTCTGGGCTTTGTACTGCGTGAGCTAACTTCAGTTTCTATGTGCCCATCGTTGGTGATGCAGCTGCCAAGATAAGTGAAATGATCAACCACCTCGAGTTCCTCGTTAGCAAACGTCAAGGGTCATCAAGTGGCTGGTGGTCCTGCAGCAACACTTTGCACTTTGAAGGTGCGAAGTGCATACCAAATAATGGGACCACTCCGGATAGGCTATTCAGGGTTGATTGGGCCGCCCCAATATCGTCGAAAAGCAAGACGATATCGTCCGCATAATCTAGATCAACTAACCGTTCACCAGGCAGCACTTCAACACCTACATCGTGAGATTCCGCAAGGGAACACTCCATGATAGAATCCACGACGAAATTGAACAAAAACGGGGAAATCGGGCAACCCTGTCGAACGCCACTTGTCGTCGGAAAGCTATCCGACAGGACAACGTAGACCCTGACGCGGCCTGTAGTGTTCGAGTATAAAGCGCGTAAGATGTTCACGTATTTTGTGGGAACACCTTTCTGCGCAAGTATTTCGAACAGAATCGATCGATCGACTGAATCGAACGCACTCTTGAAATCGAGGAACACAGCTATTGTCGGTCTGCGGTATACGTGGCGCTGCTCTAGCACCTGCCGCAAAGGAAATATATGATCTATACAGCCACGTCCTGGGCGAAAACCGGCCTGCTCTTCCCTAATCCGAGATTCTTGTTCCGCAGTGAGGCGACGCATGAGAATCGAGGCCAGTAATTTTGTCACAACTGGCGTTAGACTAATACCCCTGTGGTTAGAACAGTCTGTGCGACTGCGCTTCTTGTATATTGCCGCTATAATCGATTCGCTCCAATTAGGCGGGACGCTCTCTTCTTTCCAGGCACATTTGAATAAGGAGGTCAGTGCTTTGCAGAGGACCTCACCTCCATCCTTAAATATCGCAGGTGGGAGGGAATCCGGGCCAGCGGCACGAAAACGATTGAGGGCTGTGATCGCGTTTCGGACCTCGGCCTCCGAAGTAGGCTCTAAACTAACCGTCCATGGCACGTCCTGCATCATCTGAATAGGAAGAGGTCCGGGAGCAGGGAGCCAGCTGAAATGATCTTGAAAGTGTTCCGTCCAACGAGCCATACGGCGCTCCTTATTGTGTATCAGTGTACCCGCGCTGTCTCTGATTGTCTCACTGACGCCTGGCTTTCTGGGATCAGTGGTGCGGATTAGCTGGAAGAGCTTCCGGTAATTGCCTACTGCTCCTGCCTCCTCCATTTCTTGAGCCCTACTGGTCCACCAGGATTCCTTGTCAGCGCGTAGGCTCTGCTTTAGTTCACGCCCAATAGCCCGTCTGGTCACATTGTGTTCAGAGCCAGCCGGGAGGTGTGTTCAAGCTTCCAACAGGTTCACCGACCTCTCGGATATCCAGTGACTGGTGCGGTGACGATGGATAGTGCCACAAGCAGATGCTCCTGCGTCGTACATTGCGGCCGAGATCCTATTCCACTGAAGTTCAGTGTCATAAGGACAAGACAGCGGAAGTTCGGTATGCAGTGCGATTGATAGGCTTGCCTGACAGAGGGCTGCGACAATTTCTCAGTCGCCAATCGCGGGAGAGGTTTGGTGCGCCTCTCGGTAAAGTTCATGGAGAAATCACAGCGTACCAAGACGTGGTCAGAGTTGATATAGGTACTCCAGTGAGAGCTGCAATCCAGGATGGAACCACACCACATGTAACTTATGGCTATGTGGTCAATTTGGGTCCATCGCTGGTCAGCTACAGGAGGACGCCAAGTGGTACTTCGGCGCCCACTGTGTCTAAAAGCGGTGCTAGTAAGAAACAACTGGTGCTCCGCACACAGTTGCAGCAGACGCTCACCGTTGTCAGTCCGTTCGGAGTTAAGCCCACAATTACCACCCAGCTGAGCTTCTGAAGAGCTCAGGCGCGCTACTTGTGCATTCATATCTGAACTAGTAGCACTGTGTAGTAGCGCGTTCAGTTTGTGATAGAAAGTGCCCTTGACTGCATTAGAACTGCAGTCGGTGGGAGCATAAACGGAAATAACAAACAAACAGCGTATTGTACTACTTCGTGAATCAACCTTAGCTGATGTTGTCAAACGGTCTGCTCATAAACGGCTGTTCACCGGAATCCAATCAACCAACCATGGCTCAGCCTTGGAGTTGAGAATGATACCTACACCAGCTTGACTTGTGAGTGCTGCATCGGCGTCTCCGGATGCGTACAACCAATAACGAGAGGATAAGCCGGGTGAAGTCAATTCAATAACCCCGTTAGGGTCATGGATCCTAGTTTCGGACACACAACACACATCAGTACCCAGTGTGTCCAAGGTGCGTACGAGTGCAGCCTGTTGACCTGTTTGTCTTAGTGCGAACATTGAATGTCGCCATGGAAACGGGATGGCGGGGCCTTATAAGGGACTTTTGGCGATAGGCGTCCGATAGGTGCTGTGGGATGGTGGCTGCAGACGGTACTACTCCAGTAGCACATCGGTTGCTGTCAATTAAGCTGGGAATTATAGAAGGAAGATTAGTAATGGGGGCCGGGATGGGAGTAAGAGAAAAAGGTGGAAAAGAAAGAAGGGAGGCGCCAGCAGTAGCATGCTTTCGCTTATCCGCCCTGCTGTATGCAGCAGATAAGGCGACCCTTGATAATCTGCGCGACGGCCGATGCAGGATGAAGTTTATGTTGGAAGAAAATGTCATGGTTGTATGTGGGCTGAGATACTGCCAGGGCGCCCAGACCTAGACAGGAGAACGATTAGGGTCCTCATCCAAAGCTTTTGGCTCAAAAGCCCGTCCGCAGGACAGCGGGGAGGTGGCAGTGATTTAGTTTTACAGAAATGGACGCCATCCCATTTCAAACCCCCCAACCTGGAGGACCAGGAGACTGAGTTTGTCTGACCTCTCACCATTGACCAACCTGGTAGGAGTAGCTCTCAAAGTGCCCGGAAGCATCACCCAGTATAGCTCAATGGGTCAATGAGGTACGCAAACCGTCGCACCACGTTAAGGTCCAGTCTCATTGCGACGAGCCGCACACATGGTTTGGGTTGTTCAAAACAGATAAGCCTTTAATGAATCGCTTTTTGATCGAAAACACCGCCCGTTTAATAATCCTTATCATTTCATCTTCCGCTATTGTGAGATAACTTATTCCGACGGTGTACTTAGAAGCCAAATCTAAGGCTACGCTAGGGCTAGGAGATAGTGTTTGGGGCACGCCTTCCAGACGTGAAGTACGTATTCTACATGAGGACGAACATCAGCTTTGAACTTTTGAGAGATAACAGATATGTCTGTGTGCCTGAACGCACTTTTGAATAGTCCGAGATTTGAGTGCCAGCCTTTGATGCATATTCGAATTACTCGAAACACAAAGAGAAATTAGCCCACATACCTGCATCCCACTTCTCAGAATATCGCTACAAAACATTTGGATCTAGTCCGTAAGGATAGGTACTCTGGTGTCATATGAAGAACACATTGCGCTTCCCCATGCTAGATTGCAATGACGTTTGGATTGCCCACTTGCGTATCGCATCCTGGTCACAGTAGGGCGTTCAATGATGGACATTTATTTGAAGCATTCACCGCATAATAATGTCGTCGGAAA